TTCATAGGCCATAGTGGTCATTTTGGCTCAAGGTAAGCATGTTTCTCTCTGTAGTTCCCACTTTTAAGAGTGAAAGTGGCTATAGTGAAAGTGGCAAGCTTATGTAAATATGCGCATGGATACTTTCAAGGTCCAAAGTGGACACTTTTAAAGGCAAAAGTGGACACTTTGCTGACATGTCTTCCACTATAAATAGATTTTAGGAATTAGGGTACGGGGACTTGAACATTTATTTTTCTTGGATTCTCTTTGCCAAATTAGGACATTTTCTTTCCAGAGTTTTGGAGCCTTGGGTGACAGCCATAGGTCCATTATAGGTTTTAATTTCCAATTTCCCTTTGATTCTCATTGATTTTACATTAATGTTGCTTACATTTCTGCATTTCTTTCTTTCATTTGTGAAGCCCATCTATATGGAGAGCTAAATTCTCTTGTAATTCCTAGTCAATTCACATGGTTCTTGAATTCTTGGGTTTAATGGTAATATTACTCTTTCTTTCCTTGGATTTATTAACCCCAATCTCTGAATGAAATGAAATTTACATGAAGGGAACATTGCTTAATGAACCCTAAATTACCCAAACGAAATTCTAATCCAAAATTGCTTAATTTTGATTAATCTTTGAGATTGCTTAATCTTAGGGATAGAGATTGGAGCCAATTAAGATGCTTAATTTTAATTGGAATGCTAAAGTTAATTTACGCTTGATAGATTAACTTAATTCAAGGGAAAAATAGGGGATTATTGAATCATTTGAAAGAATAGGGATAGAACTCATTGATTGACTAGGGATTACTCTCCTTAATTGATTGAATTTCACTAGTTTACATTTTGCTCTTGATTAAAATCTAGAAATTGACAAACCTCCCCCCAGTTTACTTGAATTAAATTTTATGTTTACACTTGTTCGATGTATGTTCCCAACCAAAAATTCCTTGGAGACGACCTAGGACAACACACTAGTACTGCATTCATTTCTTTGCATATTTGATGAGGATTAACGACAATCTTTGTGCATAACGAGTAACAAAATTCTTTCCATCAATGGCCACAGCTGGTTCCAAATTATGGATTGAGAGGGTTACTTTATCAAAGCGTTCCATGAACGCTCTAAGTGTCTCTCTTTTCTCCTGACGAATGTTGACGAGTGCCAAAGATGTCAGGGGGTGGAGCCGGCTGGTGGCGAACTGCAAATTGAATCGTCTGGTGAGGGTTACAAACGAATCAATGGATGAAAGGGGTAGCCTAGTGAACCAGCTGAGGGTAGGTCCTCGGAGTGAAGTGGGGAATATCCTGCACCATAAGGCATCATTTTCTGTATATAGAGTGGCCTGAGTTATGAAGATATCCAAATGTTTTCCAGGGTCTGATGTTCCATCATATTTTTCTATCGTTAAGCCTCTCCAGTTGTCGGGTAGCCTAGCCTCCAATATATGCTGAACAAACGGGCTTCGGTTTGCTACATCATCTCGATCAATCTGGGTTCCAGGTTGTCGAGTCACCTCTGGTTTTGCTAGTAATGCTGAGGACTCTCCCTGTTCTTGGGCGAGGGGTGTAGTTTGAGAGGGAGTGTGTGTTCTAATTTCTTCCCTTAAGTTGGCATTTTTCCTTCTCAATGTCGAAAGCTCAAGGGCATCTTTTTCTCTCTCCTTTTTCATTTCTGTCATCTCTATTCTGAGTTGCCTTAATACTGCAAAAAGGCTCTCATCACCTCCCCCGTCTATCAATATCTCAAGGATTGACTGGTTAAGGGTGGTATCTTCTTGCTGCCAGGGAAGTTCCTCCATGTTGGGTTTGTCCATCTTGTTGGCTTCTTGTCAGTACCATAATGATTAAAAGACGAGGCAATCGAGCCCCACGGTGGGCACCAAAATGTTCCTGGTTTGGAGACACTGATCTTCGGATCTCTGCTTGAATAGGGTGACATCCTTCCGTATATTGCTGACATTGCTTGACGTAGGGGAGGACACCTGCAAAAGGCACTTCGATGCTGAAGTCAGGATTCAGTTCTAAGCAAGAAATGCTATTTTATATTCAAAAGTCAACCCTTTACCTTTACCTCTTACCTTCATTTTATAGGAAATATTATGGACTAATGGGCCTCATGAGTCAGCCCTGATTACGGCCTTGTGTTTAAGACAGATAATAATCTGATTATTACCCTTAATCTTGGCCGAGAGGGTATTCAGCCTATTTAGACCGAGGGGGTACTCAGTTTCCTTTTTCTGTAGGTAAGACTGAGTGGTATCTTATTCGGTACAAGAATGATATTGTTAAATAAGATCCATAAAATATATAATTTTTTTAAAATAATGTAAAGTAAAGAAAAATAAAAATTACAATAAATAAAATACTAAATAAAATACATATAAAATAAAATGCATAAAAAATCCTCTTCTAAAATAATTTAGTAATATGAAGAAATTTATTAATAGAAGAATAATGTAACATAATTTTTATTTTCATAACAATCAAAAAACAAACAAACAGAAAACTAATAGAAAAATAATTTTTAAAAAATAATAGTAAAAGGGGACTCACTTGCAAAGGGCAAGGTTTCTTTTGGCTAAGCAAGGAGGATTTATTTTGGGAGGATTTTTCATTTTGACTCTCAATTTTTCAACATCAGTACAGAAAGATGTTTTTCCTCTTTTCTAATAAAAAATATACACATGGAGGTTGAAAGATATTGTGGAGAAGGTTACTGGTTGTGCAACACATATCCTGAAAAGGCAAAGCGAGATTCATTTTTCTGAAGGGGATTTTACCTTGGATCCAAGAACATTTTTTCTCTCTCATTTTGGTATTTCTTTTTTTCTTTCTCTCTGTGTCATTGGGGCGGTGAGGAAAGTTTCAAGATTTTCAATCATTCCAAGGGATTGCATATCATTTTCAAGCAAATTTCAAGATGGTTTGATTCTAACAAAATCAGTTAAGAACAGAAAGTGTGATACGACCAAATAAACTCCTTAAATTTTCTTTAATTATCAATATTTTTTTTTCACAAATATATATCATTAGTTAAACTATTTTGTTATTCTGGTCTGCTAAATGTACATGGCATCATCTCTTGATTTTTTAAATGAATACACATTAATACTTTTACTTTGAAAGATTTGATATAGATATTACATCCAAATTCATGTATACTTTTTTTTTCTTTTTTTCTTTTGTCCTTATTGTAATGGAATATATGCATATTTGTTTCTTATTCCATGAATCGAAAATGTGTTCACAAAAGTTTCAAATGGTCCAGAATAAATAAAAGGGAATATGTTATTAAAAGGAGGATCGAGCAAAGTCAAATGTCATGGAAATCTTAAGTCTCACTTTCAATATATTTGTTGTCACTGTATTAACGTTATTAATCTCATTTCATGAAAAGCGTAAAGCGTAATGATTTGTACTTTGAATTTTGGACAAGTTAAATTTTTAAAATTTTTAGATACATAAAGAACCTGGATATTATAATTTACTCATGCAATTGAAAAAGCAATTATACTATCTAGTTTTGGGTTAAGAACGTACACTATTCTTGTTATTTTTTCAATTGACCCATTTAACCATAGGTTAACATATAGTTTTATTTAGTTCAGGCACTGAAATGAGTAATTGAGGAAACAAAAATATGAGGTTTGGACGGGTCAATTTTAGTATAAATGAGAATATAGAGTAATATAAAATAGTTCAATACAAATGGTATATTTTTTCAGTTAGAATAAGACAACTTTTTATTTTAAAGTTGATATAATTCGGTGGTAAATTCTTCAATATGGATTCAATCCCAAGTAAAATTCATTTAGTTTTATTCTAAGTCAAAATGCATCATAAAAAGTAGCAGCTTGAATTATTATATTTAGTTTTAAATACTTATATTTTTATCACTAAAATATGAGATATTTTTCTTTCTTTTTTTTAAATTTGTACAAATGTTTATAATATCAATGCCGCATATTATTATAAAGTAAGATACGTAAATAATAAAAAGAAAAATAAAATTTATATTAAAAGTAAAATTCAATTTTTTTCTCTTCTAGAAATAAAATAAATAAATAAATATTGTTAATTCATGCAACGATTTATAATGTCAATGTATAGATTACTTTATTATTTGTATATTATAAATTTGTAAGGGTACTAGTTTAACTACACTACCTAATACTCTTAACATATAAATTATCTTATATTTTTTTGGATATTTTTTTCAATTTTTTTACCTTAAAAAAATTAAAATAAATTTTTATCAAAAATAATAATGTATAAATTACTCTATCATTCATAAATTATATAATGTTAAAATTAAATTTCTCTAAATTATTTTAACACCCTCAAATAGTTAACTTCAATTTTTCAAATGTCTTTCAAAAAAAATTTCTATTCAAAATTATATAACTCTGATTTTCTTAAAGCGTTAAGAAATACATAAAAGGAGGAATCAAAACATTTCAAGTCCAATTATTTAAAACTTTATTTTTTTCATCATAAAAAAAAAGTAAACAAATAAAATATCAAAATTAAGAATGAAATGAAACTTTATGCAATTTAAGTTTTTCATTTTTACAGACATAGTAAGATATTAATATTTTCCTCATAGATAATTAGACTCCCAAATTTAAATATGACTAGCACACTATTATTATTTTTTTATCTTTTAGAGTTCTTTAAAAATTTCGATGACACTCTTCCGTTCTATTTTGACTCTTTCATTTTTTATTTTATCATTTTTTTCCGCGGCCCCAATTGTGACAAACGTGACAAAAAATACCACAGACAAAGAAAATATGTTTAATAAATGCTCTATTCTAATGTTTTTAATTTTGTCTTATTTTGAGAGAAAAAAAAAACCTCTCCCTCGTCTAGTTTCAGTTACTAAGCAAAGCAATGCCACGTGTAACATCAATTTGATTTAGAATGCATATAGATCATCATAAGTAATTAATAAGTAAGAGCACCAAATAAGAGTTTGTGGGAATAAGAGTACCGAATAAGAGTTTATTTCAATAAGTTTATTTTAATAAATTACCTTCCCCTCGAAACTTTAGTAGAATAAATTAATAAGATCTTATAAGATGATGATAAGATACTTTCATAAGATTAACTAAACATTCAATTTGCAGCTTAATTACTTACATAATAAAATAAACCTATGTTAAGTTCTCTAAAACAAATCAGTAGGCTAGGCCCCTTTAAATATATAGTCTGTGGCATGGGAGTATATAGAGGGGGTCAGAGTAAACAAAGTGAAGAACTATAAAAAAAGCAACATCACACTACCTTCGGAAGATATTAAGAAGTCGTTAGAATAACAAGCTACATAAATCTTCGAACAAGTACTACATACAATACCCATTTTACAAAATATATACATCTACCTCCTTTGTGAGTAATCTCTTCTAAAGCATAAGCATGGAAAAGTACTGCTCAAATTCTTGATCAATTGTTGGTGGCCTAGTACTTGATTGAGCCTCTGCAACCAAAACATTAGTTCATGTCAACGTAGGAATTATGACCTGAAAATTCTGCCAAAGACATTCTGACAACTAATTTCAACATATGAAAAATGATCTTATTGTCACGGATAGTAACTATCAAGAATGCAGTATACCTTGGTTTACACTCCATCTTCCAGATGAAAGGACATACATGTTACGATTTCCTCCTTGAGCAAAAAGAAAATCTTCAAATTCCATATCTACGTCTTCAGCATATTCTTGGCACACATGATTGCTGCGGTTTTCTAATTCTAAAATCTGCTCCTCAAGATTCTTTAAAGCCTGTATATCAGCATAATGATAAGATGGATTACATTCTTTGTCAACAAATGTGTCCGCTTCACCTGAACATCCCTTCTCATCTGCAGATACATCTAAAGAGCAGTGATTATCCTTAACATTGTAGCCATCCCAACTAACCAAAGAAGTGGATGGCCCCCCATATAGGTATGTCTTTGCAGAATCAGCGACAAGTTTACCTTCTTCATTTACAGACATGGCAGTATTAGAATCTTCCGTAAAACTATTGCTGTCTTTGGCAGATTCAGGTTCTGAGCTATCTGCACCCGTTCTATCTTCAAGTACATAAATCTGCATGCTCTCTAAGGCTCGATTTTCCTCAAACATTGAAGCATGTTCGGAGGAGGAATTTCCAAGCCAGCATTTATGCTTTGGTCTTGGTAAATCCAATTCATCACTCTGTAATTTTCTTTTCTTGTTCCATTCAGCAATGTTGGTCTCGTGCACTCCATCAACACAGAATCTGAAAGGAAGATGATAGAAACAAATTATATATGCTGTGTTATTAATCAGATTATGCAGTAAAATTGAGTAAAAGAGCTCAAGCTCTACAATTCTCAGGTGGATTTCCCAAGAGTCAGTACTTGACTCCTCCAGAGAGTAAACTCTCTTTAGCAAAACCCACAATATTCTTGCCTACCTCACTCCCACTCCCTTCTCTCCCCATATACCAGAATTTCCCTATATCCTGAATTTCTTCCACGTCACTTCTCCTCTAACTAACTAATCATTATTCTTTGGCTCCATTTTCTGTCTCCTAGTATAAACTCTCCATACATTGGGCTTTTGTAAAACTGTCCTTTCACCAAACACAGGCCCATCACCCTTCCTAATATAGTATTTGCCATATTTGGCACCCTATCAGAATATGCCAAAGAAAATGATAAATAAATCATTAAGAGGCAAACAAATATGAAGAATTCACAATTAATTAAAAGAAAAACAGTCCTGTACACAATGTAAGTGTAGACTATTATCATATAATGCCAGAAATATTCAAGAGATCATGACAACTCTCTCCGACACAAACTGATGCAAAATTGTTTAGGGATAAAAGAACAGTTGCAAAAAAAGATATTTGAAAGAGAAATGCTACTTGTATTATTGAATGATCAAAAGGAAAATAGAGAAATGATCTTCCTGTCCACAAAACAAGGCTACAAACAGAGAGTTATTGCTCTCTATCTCTATCGAATTACATCCCAATACAACAAAAAATTACTCAACCACCCTGGGTTCACACCAAACACTACATCCCTGCCGCATCATCAATTCCTATTCTTCTTATTCCTTCTCACATATACCCTCCAAACGATTGGCCTATTTGATTGTTGCTGCACCAAATTAGCACTTGGGCCCATTGAATCTATTGGATCTCCAACACTACTTTTCTCTTGAGAAACAATCTTGTCCTCAAGACTAAAACTATAACATCCTCATTTCATTATCGCTTATTTATTTTATTTTTATTTTGAGTAGAAAATATTTAAAATTATAAAAATTATAAAAGGTCTTGCCTAAGTGAGACTAGTCACTCTGAACCGGGCACTCTCGCTAAGGCGAGATGAGTCTCGCCCAGGCAAGATTGAATGATATTGCCCCAAATGTCCTCTCACCCAGGTGAGAGGGTATCTTGCTCAATTGAGAAGTCATAGGAAAGAGTAGGAGCTTTCTGAACCAGGTCTCTCTCAGGCGAGAAGGGATCTTACCTAGCGAGATTATAAAAAATAGAGAAGATATTTTCTATCTGGTGTTCTCACCCATGCAAGAATGTTTTTCACTCAAGCTAGAATATGCAAGTTTAAAAGCGTATTTAAGGAACTTCAAGGCTTAAACTTGTATTGCAAGCCAAATAGCCTCCCCTCTCATTTCTCTTTGTTATCTCACTCTCTCTTCCTAGAGAGAACTTCTCCAAACCCTGAATCTCAAGAACTTTGGACTTCGAACCCTAAGTCTTATTTATGTGTTTTGACTTGAAAAACTCAAAATACCTCGTTTGAAATAGTAGATCTATATACTTTTTTTAAAATTTTTAATGTCAAAATGGATTCTTTAGGTATGAAAACCTATGATTGGTTTCAAGATACACTTAATACAGAATTTTATAGTAAAGGTTATGAGCAAAACAATATTTTAAGAAGTTTCTATGATTCTTGTTAATTATCATATGTGTGAATTAGTAATTTTGAACAATATATGTCTTGGAGCATGAAAATAGGAAAGACTACACTATAAGATTGATGATTTTTATTAAAACTGTGAGAATGTGATATCCGACAATGTAACTATAGGATGAATTCGTTCAATATATTTTAACTACACGGCTGGAGCTGAGTTGGAGGTGTTTGACCTATGGCAAATTGTTTGATGATTTGACTATAATTAGATGGTATATTATGTTGAGTGTGTAATGTTTTAAAAATTTATATATGTTTGAGTATTCTCTGAAAGAAGTAGAAATATGACTTTTGAAATTATATGATCTAAGTTGAGCTCGGAGATAGCTGACCTTTGACATATTACATTGATTTGTAAAGTGTTGTTTGAACTGTTAAAAAAGAGAGGAAATGATTACATGAGAAGGAAAACCATGAAAAGAGAAATAGTGTCATGAAAAACTAACAAAAATATGTATAGATAGTTATAAAGATACACTGTGAGTATAAAATTCGGAGACGATTTGAAAAATTTGGAAGAAATATAGGATGGTGAATGACATTCTTTTGTGTGTGCAATCTAATGAGTGCAAATGCATAACATGACTTCATACTTATTTCCTGACTAGACTCCTGATTATACCTTTGCTAAAAGGAGCTTGATATTGTATACGTTGTATCTGTATACATGGGTTAACCAGCGACTATCTATACTTATGAAAGACCTCAAGGGATCCTAAGGACAATAGTAATGAAATTGTGATATATGTGATTATAAGAAGTAAATCATAACAGATTGATTGGTGTAATTATAGTACAAGTATTGTAATATATCAACGAGTGTAATTATAATAAATATATTATAATGCATTGATTAATATGATTATGGATTATGATGCACGTATTATGACATGCTGATCGATGTAAAAATATATGAAACGCTATGACTTTAATGTATGATTAAAAGTATGGATGATATAATTGTTATTATGTGCAATCTACTGTAAATTTATTAATGTAATATTTGAGCTGCTACTACTTTGGTGTATTTTGTATTAATTAATGTATTTTGTATTAATTTGATTATTTTATAACATAAAGGATTTAGTAGGGTTGGAGTACTCACTCTTACAATTATTTTTCAGAAATTAAAATAAAGAATGATCTGTTCTACGATTATATTCTTAATAGTGTTGTAAGAAAAAATCTGCTCTGCTAGAATTTAAGTTTTATTAAAGTTGTAATAAGTTTATTAAGTTCTTCAAAATTTGATTTTTGATAAGTAAATAATTTGGTGTCGATTTTTAGAAATTTAAAAGGGTCTGATAAAATTTAATATAAATAATGTTTAGAAATATATTTGTAATATTTAGTAGTTAATTCTCTCAATCTTACTTTTTACCTTAGTGTTAAATTTAAATTGTGAAAATAAATTTCTCTATTATGAATGAGACTTATATGTAAAGTCTCAAGATTTTGACAACTTCTATTGCTTTAAAAATTAAATCAACACGAACCTTTCCTAATTCATTAAAAATTGTTACTTATTTTAAATAAATTTTATTGAAATTTATATATAAAAAAACACAAGGGATGTTACAAAAATCCTCTTTCCATATAGCTTCTTCAACTGGTTTGTCTTGCCATTAAATAAGAACTTTTCACAAGTTTTCTCCCTTCTCAAACTCTTAGTCATCACCCTATGAGCCAAAACTGCAGCAAGAACAAAAACATAAGTTTCAACTTCCAAACTAGCAGGAAGAGTGATTTCTACTTGATAATTTTCCATTGCCTCCTTAAGAAGAGACACATGGAAAAAAGGATGAATATAAGCTTCAAGAGGCATATTAGATTTGTAGGCCACACTACACCTGTTAGATAAACAATTTGGAAAGGATCGTAGTAGTGAGAGCCAACTTAAAACATATCTTTGTATGAATAGTTTGCTGCTTGAGGTCGTAGCTTCAAGAAACCCATTCCCCAATAGCAAAGCTTCTTTCAATCCTCTTTGCATCAATTTGTTCTTTCATTCTTCCTTGGGTATGATTTAGATGGTTTTTAAGTTGCTTCAAAGAAAGTTCGATGGTAAGAATCGAGTGATTACTGGAGGAGCTCTACCATAGACCACTTCAAATGGTATAGTTCCTATAGACACACGGAAATTGGTATTATACCAACACTCAGCCCAAGGTATCCAATGAATCCAAATGCGCAATTGATCAGCAATAAAACACCGCAGAAAAGTCTCCAAACATCAGTTAACCACCTCAGTTTGACCATCCGTTTGAGGATAATAAGGCGTGCTCATTTTTAGCTGGGTTCCTTATAACTTGAAAACCTTTCTAGAAAGTACTCACAAAAATAGGATCTCTATCAATCATGATGTAACATCCTAAATTTCCTTCACTCTATAAATGATTATTGAATTATATAAACCTCATTAAATAAAATATGTAGAGACTCTAGAACTAAAAATTTTTTTAACAAAATTTACCGAAATGAGTCTGATAGGTAAAGAATTGAGTAATATAAAAAATAAATAAATATGTAAATTTTTTTTTTAGACTATCTAGAATAGTTTTATATGATTTATAAGAGGATTAGAAAGATCCAAAAATGAAAAATAAATAAAATTACAAAATTTGACCAAAAGACCAAACTATCCCTAAAAGCACCTAGAATGGAGGCTCCTTTTAGGCAAGCAAATGAATGAGATAAATTCTGAAATTTTTATGGTAAGTTATTGGACCAAATAGGGTTATGGACGTTCAATAATCAAGCCAAAAATCCAACTACAAAATCCAACCCAAATTCCTCAAAAACAGCCCACATATGATGTGGAAAATGACCCATTTTGTGTCAAAAACTTGCAAAATTTGTAACCTACCCAACCTAATTTAATTTGCACGTTTTCTTGGCTTGAAAGAGAAGTCAATTGACTAGTAAATGAACCATGGAAGAAGCTGGAAGAAAGTAGCCAATAAGAAAGAAAGGTAAGTCCAACAAGTCAATGTTTCATGATTAAGATTTTGAATAAGTGGCAAGACTCAATTTCCATCCAATTTTGAACTTAGGAACCGTGACTACCCTAGCCAAATGGGACTAGAAGATACACTTTAAAGTAACAAAAAGAATTAGAATGCAACCAAGAGGATTTGAGTACAATTGGATAAAGAATCTAAAGACAAGAATCATAATGGAGGGCAATTTTGGCATTAAAAAAGATGGCCATGTGTAGGCTTATGAGAAAAGCTTTGATTGGACCCCAAATTAAATCTCCACACTTGCTATAAGAGGGAGTAACCGT